AACGACCCTTGCAACTCCTCTTCTTTCATGGACATGCTACAGAAGATTGAAGAAGCTGAACGCAAGATAGAAGAACATGCGGCTCTTCTTGCCAAGGAAAAGGAAGACCGTGCTCGGGAACAAGCTAATAACAAGGCCATGATGGCTGAGTTCAACCTTATGCAAAGGTTTATCCGTTCAACTGACCCAAGGTACCATGCTTTCATTGCCTCTGAAGCATCATCTCCACCTCATCATGATCAGTAAAATTAGCTTCTGTTTATTTTGGTGTTTTGGTATTTTGAACATAAAACAATTCAACTGTTGGAATTGTTTTATGGTCTTATGTATCTTTTTGGTATGTATATGGGATGTTTGTATGTATTTAGGATTCCAAAACAATGTTTATCTAATTCCAATATCCTTTTGGTATGTATATAAAGAATTTCTATGTGTATTTAGGATTCCAAAACAAAAACCAAAATGAATCAAAATAATACCCGAAATCTATGCTCATATTTGTTGTCCCGTACTCTCTCTTTTCAGTCGCTAAACAGTCACTAAAACGTGGCTAAATCGGTCACTATTCAGTGGCTAAATCGGTCACTATTGTCAGTCGCTAAACAGTCATTAAAATGTGGCTAAATCGGTCACTTTTTAGTGGCTAATCAGTCGCTAAATTACCGACTGTTTAACAACTACAAAGTAGTCACTAAATTACGTCATTAATCAGTCATTATTCAGTGGCTATTTTAGCGACTATTTAAGGACTATTTAGCGACTATTTGATGACAACTGTATCGGTCGCTAATCAGTCTTTAATTAGCGACTGATTAGCGACCGATTTATTTACCGACGATCAATATAATGACAGCCTTAATTGGTCGCTAATCAGTCACTAATCTTGATTTAGCGACTGATAAGCTACTATTCCTGCGGTAGCTAAATAACTGTTTTCTTGTAGTGAATGTTGAAATACAGATTTTGTCTTTATATGAGCAAATCTTATCACTAAAATGAATTTAGTTTACTGTTTTAGTCTTTTAGAACAAAATTATTTTATTTTTGTATCACAGAACATGGTAAATACTCTAAACTTCTTGTGCTAAACCCATAATGGGAGGCTTTGATTAAAAACGATAACTAAGAACAGTAACTTTGTCGCCTAAATGTTGAGGGAGAGTGTTACGATTGTGTTTAGCATAGCCAGTGATATCTTCAAAATGTTGATCTGTATTATTTTTTGGCCTGAAATCTAAAGATTTAGAATTTGCATGGCAAAAGAAGGCTCATATAGTTACATGCACAAAACATTTTTAAAAGTATGTTACGCTGATGAAATCCTTTCTTGGATGAAGTCCCACATTGCTTTAATACTCGTGAAATGGTTAAAGCATTTCCGTTGTGTGTAATGATGTGGATCATGTGTTGCGTTAGCGTTGAGATTGTCTTTTGATGCCATAGTCTAAGAAGAAAAGAGAATGTTTACTTTTATATTATGTGCACCATTGACCTATTTTTGAAAACATTACAAAGCCGGATATCCAAGAGAGTATGATATCCATACACTTGGTTTAGCTTACTTGCTATAAACAAAAACAAATGATCACATCTCAAATTATCAATACGCCGTGCATCACCGTGAAGTAAAAGATCACTTAAAATCGTCATAGGAACTTCGAAATTTACCAAAGAAGCTTCTCGAAAGAGCATGTTACCTTTTATCATAGTACCATAACATAACGCCCCTGGCCTCTGTTAAAATCACCATGGATGTGTCCCAAAAGAAAATTGAGCCAGTAATCCAAAATAACTTATTACCTAAATGCATGATCATAATTCATACCTCAACTCACTGCTTTCCATGCCTGGTGTAGAGAAAACACATGATTATGAAACTCATACAACAAATACTTAAAAATATGATGAGACAAATAAAAACAGAGAACCTTTGAGTTCGACACTGCTGATGGACTGGTGCCACCTAGTGGCTGTAGGCCAAAGCCTTGAATAACATGTGCATGCAGTAGTGGATAAATTGTTCGATATAAAATAAAACTTTGAGATCATTTTTGCTTAGTACAAAAGATTCTGCAAACTAAATGAGAGAGTGTGAGCTTACACAAGCCAAGGACATTGAGAACCAATGTGTGAGAGAGATGAGTAGATACCTTTAAGTCACTTCCTGAGTAACCATCTGTCATATTAGCAATCGCTTCTAAATCAACATCAGGTGCTATTTCTTCTTTAGAAAGAATAACACTCAAGATCTTTGATCTGTTCGTTGCATCTGGAAGATTCACCATCAATCTGAAACATAGAAGTATGCATTAAACAATAGTTAAAACATGAAGAATCATCTATCATAAGAGACAGACAATGTAGGTTTACCTCCGGGGAAGCCGTGTAATAACTGCTTCGTCAAGGTCAAATGGTCTGTTGGTAGCAGAGAGTACCAGAACTCATTCTTTATCCTTTGTTCATAAACCGTCCCAGTTAACCATAAACTCGTTCTTCATTTTATGCATAGTTTCATGTTCCCCTGGATTCTCACGTCTTCCCAACATGCTATCAACCTAAATAATAAGGTTTTTTCACCAGTCATCACAGATCAAGACATTAAATAAAATTTTAGCTTCGGAGAAGTGACGAAACAGAACATACCTCATCAACAAAAATGACACTTGGAGCAATCTTGTTTGCTAAAGAGAAGACATTTTTCACATACTTCTCTCCCTCACCAAATCACTATAAAGAATTCATATTATTAGATGATCTGCAAAAGAAAGTATAAAGACAGACTCAAACCACAGTTGGATAGATACCTATGAAGTAATGTTGGACATTGAGATATTTTTATCTACTGTAGAATAAACTATTACAAAAAAATTATATTGGTCATCTCATTGTCTGAAGAAACACAAAGCTTCGTAACTCTATAATTTGATTGACGCTAACATTAACCATAGCCCATGTTCCAAATATAAAAAAACTGTAACAAAAGATCTAAGATAAGTCTTAAATGGACATATGAGGCAGATAAGCAAAGGTATTTTGATAGACTATGGATCAAAGTGGAACTTACCGAAGGCAATAGGGACCTGGGAATAAAGTTCAGACATGAAAATTTGTTGATTTTATGGGCAAAAAGACAGAGAAGCTGAGACCTGAGCAAGAAGACCAACGCCATAATAAGAGTTTAGCACACTCAGATGGGTACAAAACACCATGATATAAACAGAACAGTTAACCATCAAGTAAACTACATTTCAGTATGAGTTACACAAAACACTAAGATACATTGCGCTTGAAGTAAATGATTTCAACAACTCCTGAGCATCTTAAGAAGGGGATGGAGATGGCCAGCATCAAGATGTTGTCCCTTAGCATTGAAGTTATACTCCTTGAATTCCAACTCTTTCCAGCTACATGTGAGTACCCATTTTTCTCTTTCTTTTCCAATGCCAACAACATAATTAATACGAATAGAAAACAAACATTAGGGATTAGTACTCACTTGTGTACATTTTCTCGAGTCAAGTCAGTAGCGAAAATCTTACTTTTGGAAGCATAATTAGGACCTTTCTCAACATCAGCATATCCCGTCCATCCCCTAATAAGAAAGGAAAGGAATCAAGCTTTAAAACAATGTCTCCCAAAAGATAAAACAAATTACAAAAAAAAAAAGAGCAGGTAGTTACGGTGTTACTATAAGTTTCCTGGTTTTGAGAAAGTTGACACTTTCTTGGTCAAGTTCCTGAAAGTGAGAAAGGCCAACTTATTCTCATAAATTATAAGAAGCTGGATTAGATTTCTACATAATAGTTCTGAATAAACAAACCAGTCCTTGTTGTATTGAAGAGACTTGATATACCATGATGTTGACCCCTTTTTGGTCATGGTATTGATATGTTTTTATGATAATTATCTATGTTTTGGAGTCTATTAGGTATGTTTTCAGGTTCACGAGCATTTTGTAGTAAAGTGATGATTTAGGTGCCTTATGGAGCTTAAAGGAAGATGACTATGAAGATCCGACAATGAGAGACACATATCGATCGATACACACCTTGTGTAATCGATCGATGACGCTTCCGTAGAAGTTGAAGTCGAGATACTCCATCGATCGATATACACCATGTACCATCGATCGATACAGAGCGTGATGAGCAAGATTTACTTGGCCGACTTGAAGCCCAAGTTGTCACCAAATTACAAGATTGCCCCTGACGAGTTTTTAACCTAATTGTACTCATATTTATAGTTATGCCAATGAGCCCTAAAGGATATTGAGTTTTATCTAAGTTTTGTATTATATTCTATACTTAGCAATAAAGTATTTTCTTTTCATCTTATTCTTTTGCTATGAATCACTTGGCTATGTCTGAGTAGATTCATTTGTTAGATTTAGAGTTCAAATAGTTATGAGGGATTAGCCCCAACTATGGAGTGTTGAGTTGTTATATTCATTATCCAAATGAACCCTAATGCTTACCCTAGATTAGCTACCTAGAGGTATGATTATAGAGTGACTAATCTAATAGTCATTATCCTGAAATCATTTTGCTAAGCTCAGACTCTAGTAGGCACGTGCGATAGGCAGTCTAATAGAAATTCTTGGGTGAACATAGTTTCAATTCGATTCGATGCTATATCGATCGATACTCCTGTAGAGTAATCGATCGACGGCAAAACATATCGATCGACACTGCGATAGCAACATCGATCGATACTGTTGGCAATCAGATCAATGGACGAGTCTAACTAGCGACAGCTATAGATTTTTCTAGGATTGAAGTTCTCATATATTTGCAAGCAACTCGTTAAGACATCCATAGATTTATAATCCTGATTTTTTCTGAATAGTAACCTTGAATCTAGCTACTTTCTTATATTGTTTTAAAACCCAAAAACATTTTCCTTAGCAACTTACCATTGCTACCAACTTTTATTTATCGTTTTAAACCTAATCAACTTAGCTTAATCACTTAGGATTATATCTTTTGTGAATCTAGTTCCTTGTGGATTCGATCCCTAAGTACTACGATTGAACCTATCTATCGACCGATACGCTCTTTCCACCGACGATCAACAACCGTTCGTCGACTGATTCCCTCACCATCCCATCGATCGACATCAACAACCGTTTGTCGACCGATTCCCTTACCATCTCATCGATTGACGTCAACAACCATTCGTCGACCGATACCCTTCACTTGACATCGATCGATACACCTCACCCTATATCGATCGATACTAACCGGCGAGACACGGTAACGCCTATGATTCTCATACCCGATGAGAATGGAGACTTGCGTGATCAAGATGGTCACCTGCGAAATGTAGCAGGTCAGAAGCTGAATGATCAGAAGGAGGTCATTACTGAAGAAGACACTGCACCTACAGGCATCATTCAACCTGTAGAAGAGACCATAACTTTGGCTGAGTTCAACCGTCCGGATCAGTTCTATTCAAACCGATCAGCCATCCTCCCTCCTGCTATTCAGAGAGGAGATTTCGAGCTCAAGCCGCAGTACTACACACTTGTAGGACAAATCCCTTTCTGTGGTTTGCCCCATGAGCATCCTATGGACCATTTGGAGAGGTTCGAGGATCTTGTAACCCTAGTCAAAGCAAAAGGAGTCCCTCAAGACTATCTTTTCTGCAAGCTTTTCAAGTACTCTCTATCTGGAGAAGCTTTGCAGTGGTTGAGACAACTACAACCAGGTTCCCTTACCACCTGGAGTGACATCAAGCACGCTTTCCTGCGTAATTTCTTTGATGATTCACGCGCTGAAGACTGGAGGAAGAAAATTGCTACATTCACCCAAGACCCTGAAGAGTCATTCAAGGATACTTGGAACAGATACAAATCCTACCAGCAAGACTGCCCACACCACGGATTCAACAAAGTGCAACTGCTCTGCATTTTCTATAGAGGCATCAGCCCAGATTTCAAGAGAGCCCTTGATACAGCTAGTGATGGCAACTTCACCACTAGGAATCCGCAGAATGCTATCAAGCTAATTGATAACTTGGCTTCCAGCAACAGCACAAAGAACTCTGTGACGCAGACTACATCATCCATTGGGAAGGAGTACATCAATGAAGTTCAAGCACAGCTAGACAACATTCAGAAGCTCCTAAACAAACAGATATGTTCAGTGGAAGATTCAGACATTTTTGAAGAAGATGTCAACTGGATTAGTGGAGTTGGTTTTCAGAGATCTGGTAACCAAGGAGGATACAGAAACTTCATAGGCCAGAGAATCAACTTCAACCAGAGTTCCAGAAGCCCAACAACTTCAGCAGCAGCAACCCTAACAACAACAGAAGCTATGGAAGTGCTTTATACTCAAATCCACACCCACCCACCCAAGATACTAAACTGGAGGAGTTGGTAGACAAGATACTTGAGAGTCAGCAGAAGCTCGAGGTAAACTTCAATGGAAAGATCGATTCTGTCTACACCACCTTCACCACAAAGATAGATGCCCTCAGCACCCATGTGAAGAAGCTAGAGACCCAAGTGTTTCAGACATGAGAAGCACTTAAGAAGCAGGAGTTTGCCCACAACCAGAACATCAATGCCATCCTGGATGATGAATTTTGGCAACAGGTAGTAGAAGTGATTCAGAGATCTGATGATGAGAGTGAAACAGATTTCGCCTACGAATACTATCGATCGATATCACCATCTCAACATCGATCGATATCGCCTTTAGTACGTCGATCGATAGACTTTGACGAGTGTCGATCGATAGACTCAGACGAAAACCCTCGCAAGTGCAATTCCGTCAAGATTATGTCACACGCCGCCTTCGCAACACGTCATCCACATCCTCCCATCCCTTTCATCGATCGACATTATAACCCTGTCATCGATCGACACCAAGACCCTGGTATCGATCGACACACACCAGCCAGTGTCGATCGATACACAGTACCCCACGCCGAGTGCAGCTTCCTAAGATTGATAGTGCACGTCTTGACGCTTTCCGGGAGCAGTATTACACCACCAGAAGCCCTACAGCAGCCCTAAAAGAGAGACCCACGGATATCTTTGAGTCCATGGAGATAGAAAAGGAAACTCAAGGAAGAGTTATCAGAAAAAGGAAAGAGAAGATACCTAAGCCCTATAAAAGAGGAGCTAATGAGAAGGAGTTGTCAAGCTTCAGAAAAAAAGTCCTCAGAATTCCTAAAGAGAAACCTTTTGAAGAAGCCTATTTTTCACACAGATTGTGGATGTTCTTCAGATAAACCAAGGAGACAGACATCTAGAGAATGTTTCACCAAGTCAGAGATAGTCTAAAGCAGAAGATAACAATGGAGAAGAAGGGTGATCCAGGGAAGTTCACAATACCTTGTTCCATCAGAGGTGTTGAGTTCCCCCGTGCCCTATGTGACACAGGATCTGGAGTTAGCATCTTACCCAAGCTTATGGCAGACCATCTAGGTCTGAAGATAGAGCCTTCTGAAGAAACTTTCATCTTTGTGGATTGTTCTCAGCAAAGCTCTGGAGGCATCGTTCGCAACCTTGAGGTACAGATTGGAGAAACCCTAATTCCTACAGACTTTCATGTCCTCTCCAACAAGCTCAACTTCAAGACTTCTCTACTACTTGGAAGAGCCTTCTTAGCCACAGTTGGAGCCGTTTGTGACCTACAAACCAACAAGCTCTGCCTAACCCTTATCAACCCTTCCATCCACTACAACCATGTTCCAGTCATCAAGTTTCCAAGGTCAGCAAGCTCAATACTCGTAGCCACATGTTTCTGTGCCCACGAGTATGATTCTATGGGAGAGTATGAAACCGAAGTAGCAGTATCGACCGATGACAACACTTCACCATCGACCGATACCAGTGCAGACCCAGCGACCGACTGAACCACACAACCATCGATCGATAAGGAGTTCCAGAAAAATCGAAGACGAGTTTCCAGAAGCCGATCTCAGCATAGATGAGTGGGAAAACGATCATTACATGCCCGAGCTAGCTAGTATCTCTACTCAGGAGGAGTATGATGAAGATTATGAAGAGGAACGAGCCATAGAATACCGATTTCTTCGAGAAGATACAGAACACCCTCCTATCCCGACCTTCCTCCGACGATCATCGACCGATATGACCTCTAGGCCATCGATCGATATGCCCTATCCCAGATCGCTCAAACGACGTTTCGAACTCACAAGCGACACCTACTATACGCCTGTCCATGCCCCACATGAGCCACACGACGGAGATTACTCGATTGGAAGTTGGGCCAGCAGTTATCACGAAAGTTTTGCAGTGGATACAGCACCACTACAACCCGCGATCCAATCTGATGCAGTCCTATCGACCAATATGGAGCACTCTCCATCGTTCGCTATCAATCACCAACCACAAACCGATCCTGCCACAACACCATCCGAAGTACAAACATCTAAATTTGATTTAAATTCACTAATTCCGGATGAGTATGGTATTTTCAGGGATTCAGATGGTCATGCACGAGCAGTAGATGGGAGAATCATTCCAATCTCCATAGAAGATGTTACAGACATCCTCCAGATGGCCAATGGACCTATCATCGAAAACGATCCGCACCAAAGAACACGGCCATCGACCGATACATGGAGACTCGCATCGATCGATATGCACAGAGAATATGGAAAGAGAGCCTTCAACAACGGAGTTCGTCGTTTCTTTTGGGAAAAGAAAGATGAATATGGAGTCTACAGAGATGAATCTGGCCATGCAAGAGCAGTAAACGGAGACATCATTCATGTTACCAAAGAAGACATGGGAAACTTTCTGAAGAGAGCCTCATTATTTGGACGCTCTTGTTTCTGTCTACCAGAGTATGCTGATCAATATGCTAAAGGAGTTCCAGATGGCAAGCTCTACACACAAGCATAAGTCACTTATATGCTAGATGGAAGAACCGGAGATCACAACTGGGAGATAGAAGGCATGAGACTTGAACATGAGAAAGACCTATCAAGACTTCGAGGTGAGCTGCTATGGAACACCACCAGCAATGACTTAGCACGACAAGAAAGAGAAGCCCTACAAGAAGATGTCAACACCTTGCGCGCACAACTGAGATCTCAGACACAAGCATCGACCGATACAGATCCCCCTGCATCGATCGATACACCCGTCCATAACCCGATCGAGCACCATTTACATAAGCTATCGATCAATGACAAACCCAGTCCATCGATTGATACCCATACTCAAGAATTCTGTACCAGGGAAGAACTTAAAGAAACCACAACAGAGATCTACAAATCCATTGAGGCTTGTGGAGACGAAGATTACAGATTACTAGATAAGTATTGGTTCCCAGTACAGAGTGATGTTCGAAGTTTGGAACTTAGAACAGAAGGGATTCAAAAGGAGGTAGAAGATATCCAAAGACAGCTCGCCAACCGACCTGACCCATCCCCATCGATCGATGACATACCACACCCATCGACCGATATCAGACCTCCAGAATCGACCGACGATCCAACACACCACGACACCATGATGCTGAATGCAGACCACATCTACAACATGCTTGGACATCATCAGTATAGCATTGCCAGCTTAGGGGAGTGGTTGGAAAGGATCCAAACTGAAGTTTATGGCTTGAAGACTAGTATGACCAGCAGTGAGAAAGCCACAAGAAGCTTTTTAACCTCATGGTTTGAAGAATCACAAGAAAAGGAGGATACTTGTTTGCCAACAAGTACCTGCAACCCACCTCACTAGCCACCATACTTCCACCGTCAAGCTAACTAACTTTAACCAAGCGCTGAGTGGGAGGCAACCCACTGTTAGGTATTTTACTACTTCTTTTTATTTTATTTTTACTTATTATTTTCGTTTTTATTTGTTTTTAGGAAGATAGACACACGATCAATACCTATCGACCGATACGAACCAATCGATATCGCTCGACACATACCTACACGCATCGATCGACGATGGCGACTCACCATCGATCGCTATCCATATCGATCAGGTATATCGTTCACAATTTCGATATCAGTTACACATTTAATTTTTCTTATGCTCTAACTCTGACTGATTATACACTGAGGACAATGTATGATTTAAGTCTGGGGGGAGATGATTACTGATGCTACTTTACCTCTTTTTGATCTTATTATAAAGTTTTCAAAATTTGGTTTTATTGAGTCAAGAAAGGGAAAAAATTTCAAAGTCTTACTTTTTATCTTACCACTCTTTAGCACCATTCTTAGATTTATTGATTGCAGTAAGCACTATAGATGCTAAAGTGGATCACCGATCACCTATGACAACACTTTCATGATTGTCTGGAAGAACCAAAGCTGATTTCCAACCTAACCTGACATCTACTGCTTGTCTTGGGGATTGGTATACAAGGGATCGGAATCCTCCTGCAAGTCTGGAAGGTAAAAGTCTCAAAAATTTTGGTTCCCTTCTTTCCTCCCTTCGGCATCCCACAAAGAGAAAAAGACTGAGATGATTTCCTGAGAGGCAGAGGGAGAGGTACATTACCTATGACCCCACTATTCTAAATCAAAGGAATGGTCAAAGCGAGGGAGAGGTACATTACCTACGACCCCATTATTTGCTTATACTTGTCAAGAATAGAAAGATCAATAAGATGAATATTAGTTGTTCATTGGGATTGATATAAGAGAGAGAAATATTTGGATTCAGAGAAGGGGGATAAAGAGAGAAAGGGAACCAGGATGAGAATGCCTGAAACTTGTTTGATTTGAATCCATGTGTTCCTTGATCAATACTCCCAAGGTAAAGCCCACACCTTTATTTTTATGCATAAATGAAATCAGTAGAGGGGATAGACAGACAAGGAATGTTTAAGTTGGTTGGCTAGATGTATTTGGTTGCTAAGCTAGGATATGTATAATGTACTTCTGTAGTTGATAGATATGAGATGTGGCTTGCAACAAAGTAAGAGGTGATGATTTTAAAGTTGAGATTTTGATTGAGTCCCTGCTGTTTTTGAACTTCTTTCAAAGACTAATTTAAGGTTTGCTTGAGAACAAGCAAAAGATTAAGTCAGAGGGAGTTGATATACCATGATTTTGACCCGTTTTTGGTCATGGTATTGATATGTTTTTATGATAATTATCTATGTTTTGGAGTCTATTAGGTATGTTTTCAGGTTCAGGAACATTTTGCAGTAAAGTGATGATTTAGGTGCCCTATGGAGCTTAAATAAGAGTTTTCCAAGATGACTATGAAGATCCGACAATGAGAGACACATATCGATCGATACACACCTTGTACCATCGATCGATGTACACCATATCGATCGATGACGCTTCGGTAGAAGTTGAAGTTGAGATACTCCATCGATCGATGTACACCATGTACCATCGATCGATACAGAGCGTGATGAGCAAGATTTACTTGGCCGATTTGAAGCCCAAGTTCTCACCAAATTACAAGATTTCCCCTGACGAGTTTTTAACCTAATTGTACTCATATTTATAGTTATGCCTATGAGCCCTAAAGGATATTGAGTTTTATCTAAGTTTTGTATTCTATTCTATACTTAGCAATAAAGTATTTTCTCTTCATCTTATTCTTTTGCTATGAATCACTTGGCTATGTCTGAGTAGATTCATTTGTTAGATTTAGGGTTCAAATAGTTATGAGGGATTAGCCCCAACTATGTAGTGTTGAGTTGTTATATTCATTATCCAAATGAACCATAATGCTTACCCTAGATTAGCTACCTAGAGGTATGATTATGGAGTGACTAATCTAATAGTCATTATCCTGAAATCATTTGGCTAAGCTCAGACTCTAGTAGGCACGTGCGATAGGCAGTCTAATAGAAATTCTCGGGTGAACACAGTTTCAATTCGATCCGATGCTATATCGATCGATACTCCTATAGAGTAATCGATCGACGGCAAAACATATCGATCGACACTGCGATAGCAACATCGATCGATACTGTCGGCAATCAGATCAATGGAAGAGTCTAACTAGCGACAGCTATAGATTTGTCTAAGGATTGAAGTTCTCATATATTTGCAAGCCATTCGTTAAGATATCCATAGATTTATAATCCAGATTTTTCTGAATAGTAACCTTGAATCTAGCTACTTTCTTTTATTGTTTTAAAACCCAAAAACCATTTTCCTTAGCAACTTACCATTGCTACCAACTTTTATTTATTGTTTTAAACCTAATCAACATAGCTTAATCACTTAGGATTATATTTTTTGTGACTCTAGTTCCTTGTCGATTCGATCCCTAAGTACTACGATTGAACCTCTTATTTGAGAGAGTAATTCACTCCTTAGGGTTAAACATTTGAGTGATATCAAGACTGCTTCACTTTATCTTCAACATGTTGAACCTAAAACAAAAGATTACAAAGTCAACATGATGAATAAGAAGAAGCCAGGACAATCAATACAATACCTTCCTAGGTACTTGCTTTCCCATTGTAACCCACCTCTTTTTAACAGCTTGCGTGCTTCCAGTTTTGAAAATAGAAGGATCTAGCTTTTTCTGAAACAAACAACAATACGAATCTTTAAGACACATACCTGTGAAAGATAAAAGAGAGTATCAAAAGAATAGTAATCATCACCTCGAGATCATCCTTGGATATGCTACCTTCCTCATAAATAGCCGAGAAAAAAGTGAATCTCCGGCGATCCTTCCGCCGCATATTTCTTCCCATCATCAGGAAAAACCAATGTCTCCCGTTTGAGCTCCTGAACTTCAATGATTAATCACTAAACTCCACAACGCATAGATCCGTGATTACCAATCGAAAGTGGTGGTGATACCTTAGCTTCGATGTAGAGAAAACCTTGTAAGCTCTTGATGACGTTTATGACTTCTTCGTGGTCGAGATTGTGCTCCGCTGCGGATTGACCTGAATCTGGATTGATTTTTTGTTTTGCAGGAACCCGAGAATCACCGCCTCCGACATACATAAGATGGCTTAAAAAATTGCTCATGAAGTTCTTAAACCTCTCATATTAATTTTAACTTGTTTACCTGAATTTTCAAGGAAAACAATCAAATAAAGATGACAATATAATTATCACTAAGAAGGAAAAAGATCACAATCCAGAGTATACCTTTCAGCCCGACTTCGTAAATTAATATCGATACTGAAATTGTTGCTTCTCTGGGACCGAAGAGAATGAAAAGTTATAAAGAAAGTCAGAGGGAGCGAGGCCTCATATTGTCGTGTTCCGTCACAGGAATTGATGAACTTAAAAATCAACTTCAAATTTGTTCATGGCCGTGTATGCAGAGTTGGTGAGAAGAGAGGAATCATAATCTTATTTATAGAGTGAAGCTTGAGATGTGAAGAGAGACGTCATTTTGGATGTAAAATAATGATGAAATTCATTGCAATAGGCGTTTGAGAGAGTTATTGACTTTCAGTAATAGGAGGAGAAGAAGAGAAGAGGAAAAAACGAAGAACAGTTAAAGGAGAAGCTTAACATTACCAAAGCCGTGATGACGTGTCAAAAATCTGATCTGCTATTGGCCTGAATATTTTATCCGACGTGGATGACCTCTCTGTTGCTGGTATCGAGCTTTTAGTATTGTATTGATATTAATAACTTGCTTTATTTTATTTTATGTTAATATACAGAAATTTGGAAATCTAAACATTACATTTGGAAATCTTGACATTTTAAAAACTTAAAATTTATATTAATAATTTTTTTTATTCTATTTTATGTTAATATACAGAAATTTGGAAATCCTAATATAATTTTGATGATATTTAGTAATATTATATTTAAATCACATTTAAGTTCTATGCAATATATATTATATACAAAAAAATATAACAATAAAATTAATATAAATGTCGCATTTCAAAAATAATAATTAATGTCACTAGACTAAAATCAAATATTTTCTTATCTTAAAATAAATATATTTTAAAATCAAAAATCGAAATAAGAAAACTTTGGTAAATGAATATCTTTATAAATTTATATAATTTCAAATCCTCAATATTATTAATTTATAGAAGTTTGACTGTATCTCTCTTTTTATTATTGTTAGATTAAATTCTTAGGTTGACAAAAAAAAACAGTAAATTATTATTATTTAATTTAATGAAAAAATAAATACTGTAACAAAAAGCAGGTCCAATAAGGCCCAATACAAAAATTGAAATTAGGGTATAAAACAAACGGACACTTCTCCTTCGTTCTTTCTTTCGTTTCAGTCACACCATGGGGCGCTCTCGAGTTCAAGTCAATAAGGCTCACAAGACTCGGCTCTCCTCCAAATCTTCCAGAAATCTCCACAAAACGTCCCATCGAGGTAAGCTCTTCAACGATTTTCGTCGCTTTCGATCTTCAGAATGATTGGAAAATTTGGAAATTGAATCAGATGGCAGCCGGATTGGTAAACCGAAGGGTCACCATGTCAAAAGTGCTAGAGCTGCTCGTCTTCAGTGTGGCAAGATGGTGATTCACGTCCCTACACGTTTTATTAATCAGCGACTCTTGAGTGATACTAAATCTCTCTCTTTTCATGAGTTTAGCTCAGAGAGCAGAAGCGAGCAGCAGTTTTGAAGGAGAAGAGAGCTTCAGCAGGATCAGCCAGTGCTCCTCGTGTTATCGTGAGTCTTACTTATTTTTTATATGATGAACCTTTGTGCTTAGAGAGTAATGCACTCTGTTTATGACGGACGATAGGTCTTGTTTCCTCTATCTGCTTCTACGGATTTGAATTCACTTGGGGAACAAGTTTTGAAGGTATTATCTAATGACAATGATTCTGGAGCCGCTTCTTCTTCCACAGTTGCATCTTCCGAGTATAAGCTAAGAGCAACTGTATGTCTTTTCCCTTTCAAGATTGGTTCTCTTTATGAATGCATTGCTAGTTCAATCGCATTCATGTTGGGGTCAAAATCGGTACGACGGAATCAATAGCCAAAATTCCCCGCAAACGCGTAAACGCAACAGTTTTATGAATCTCGAGAATCATTTTATAAAACTCGAAGATCGTTTTATAAAACTCGAGAGATCGTTTTATAAAACTCGAGAGATCGTTTTATAAAACTCGAAGATCGTTTTATAAAACTCGAGAGAACGTTTTATAAAACTCGAGAGAACGTTTTATAAAACTCGAAGGTCGTTTTATAAAACTCGAAGGTCGTTTTATAAAACTCGAAGATCGTTTTATAAAACTCGAGAGATCGTTTTATAAAACTCGACAGATCGTTTTATAAAACTCGAAGATCGTTTTATAAAACTCGAGAGATCGTTTTATAAAACTCGAGAGATCGTTTTATAAAACTCGAGAGATCGTTTTATAAAACTCGAGGGATCGTTTTATAAAACTCGAAGATCGTTTTATAAAACTCGAAGATCGTTTTATAAAACTCGAGAGATCGTTTTATAAAACTCGAGAGATCGTTTTATAAAACTCGAAGATCGTTTTATAAAAACTCGAAGATCGTTTTATAAAAACTCGAAGATCGTTTTATAAAACTCGAGAACTCGTTTTGCAAAACCGCGAAAAAC